CATCTACATCTGTAGAACGTGAAGAACCAGTGTCATCTACATCTGCAGAACGTGAAGAACCAGTGGCATCTACATCTACGGAACGTGAAGAACCAGTGGCATCTACATATGCGGAAGATGAAGAACCAGTGGCATCTACATCTACAGAATGTGAAGAACTAGTGGCATCTACATCTGCAGAACGTGAAGAACCAGTGCAATCTACTTCTGCAGACCGCAAAGAACCAGTGGCATCTACATCTGCAGAATGTGAAGAACCAGTGGCATCTACATCTGCAGAACGTGAAGAACCAGTGGCATCTACATCTACGGAACCTGAAGAACCAGTGGCATCTACATCTGCAGAACGTGAAGAAACAGTGGCATCTACATCTACGGAACGTGAAGAACCAGTGGCATCTACATATGTAGAACGTGAAGAACCAGTGGCATCTACATCTACAGAACGTGAAGAACTAGTGGCATCTACATCTACAGAATGTGAAGAATCAGTGGCATCTACATCTATAGAACGTGAAGAACCAGTGGCATCTTCATCTGCAGAACGTGAAGATCCAGTGGTATCTATAGAACGTGAAGAACCAGTGGCATCTACAGAACGTGAAGAACCAGTGGCATCTACATCTGCGGAATGGAAAGAACCAGTGGCATCTACAGAACGTTAAGAACCAGTGGCATCTTCATCTGCAGAACGTGAAGAACCAGTGGCATCTACATCTACAGAACGTGAAGAACCAGTGGCATCTTCATCTACAGAACGTGAAGAACCAGTGGCATCTACATCTACAGAACGTGAAGAACCAGTGGCATCTACATCTGCAGAACGTGAAGAACCAGTGGCATCTTCATCTGCAGAAGGTGAAGAACCAGTGGTATCTACAGAACGTGAAGAACCACTGGCATCTACAGAACGTGAAGAACCAGTGGCATCTACATCTGCGGAACGTGAAGAACCAGTGGCATCTAAATGTACAGAATGTGAAGAACCAGTGGCATCTACATCTACGGAACGTGAAGAACCAGTGGCATCTACAGAACGTGAAGAACCAGTGGCATCTACATCTGCGGAACGTGAAGAACCAGTGGCATCTACATGTACAGAAGTTGAAGAACCAGTGGTATCTACAGAACGTGAAGAACCAGTGGCATCTACATCTGCGGAAGGTGAAGAACCAGTGGCATCTACATCTACAGAATGTGAAGAACTAGTGGCATCTACATCTACAGAATGTGAAGAACCAGTGGCATCTAGATCTGCAGAATGTGAAGAACTAGTGGCATCTACATCTACAGAATGTGAAGAACCAGTGGCATCTACATCTGTAGAACGTGAAGAACCAGTGGCATCTACATCTGTAGAACGTGAAGAACCAGTGGCATCTACATCTACAGAACGTGAAGAACCAGTGGCATCTACATCTGCAGAACGTGAAGAACCAGTGGCATCTACATCTACGGAACGTGAGGGACCAGTGGCATCTACATCTGCGGAAGATGAAGAACCAGTGGCATCTACATCTACAGAATGTGAAGAACTAGTGGCGTCTACATCTGCAGAACGTGAAGAACCAGTGGCATCTACATCTGCAGACCGCAAAGAACCAGTGGCATCTACATCTGCAGAATGTGAAGAACCAGTGGCATCTACATCTGCAGAACGTGAAGAACCAGTGGCATCTACATCTACAGTACGTGAAGAACCAGTGGCATCTACATCTACAGAACGTGAAGAACTAGTGGCATCTACATCTACAGAACGTGAAGAACCAGCGGCATCTACATCTTTGGAATGTGAAGAACCAGTTGCATCTACATCTACAGAACATGAAGAACCAGTTGCATCTACATCTGCAGAACGTGAAGAACCAGTGGCATCTACAGAACGTGAAGAACCAGTGGCATCTACATCTGTGGAACGTGAAGAACCAGTGGCATCTACATCTACAGAACGTTAAGAATCAGTGGCATCTACACCTGCGGAAGGTGAAGAATCAGTGGCATCTACATCTACAGGAGATTATACAGCTTGTAACGCTGTTCCATCCGTGTTCAGTGTACACGCGGAACAGCCTGGTTGGAATTGACAGACGTAAAGTTAGGGTCACGAATAAAACCGACTTACGAACAGGCGCCTCCGACACTAGTTCAAGAACAATTTGTAGTGTATAGTGTAGTGTGTAGTGTGGTGTATAGTGTAGTGTGTAGTGTGGTGTATAGTGTAGTGTATAGTGTAGTGTATAGTGTATAGTGTAGTGTATAGTGTAGTGTATAGTGTAGTGTATAATGGTGTGGTGTATAGTGTAGTATATAGTAGTGTATGGTGTAGTATCTAGTGTAGTGTACAGTGTAGTGTTTAGTGGTGTGGTGTATAGTGGTGTAGTGTATAGTGTAGTTTATAGTAGTGTATAGTGTAGTGTATAGTGTAGTATATAGTAGTGTATAGTGTAGTGTATAGTGTAGTGTATATTGTAGTATATAGTAGTGTATAGTGTAGTGTATAGTGTAGTGTATATTGTAGTATATAGTAGTGTATAGTGTAGTCTATAGTGTAGTGTGGTTTTCACAGCTGATGACGATTGCTCGTGTTGCAGTCGAAACGTCGTGATAATTTCACCGTTTCATATTTTTTTTATTTTATTTTATTGTTTCCCTTCTACGCGGTGGTGACTTCACCGAAAGAACCAAGAATAAGACCACCCAGTCTACCGTCGTGGATACCAGCGGCGTGCCACGCCAATTCTTTGGGCCTTTCCGTTTTCGATTAATTCTTTGATATTTCCTTTCAACCCATCAACGTGAGTTCACCGGAAGACCCCCCCCCCCCCCCACAAAGAATCTGAATTCCTGCAGTCACGAAAGCTTCGAGTCAAGAGTTTTACCGGTAGGTACGAAGTTGTAAACTGAGTGTACCAGCCTGCAATCGATTAATGTGTCCGTCCGTCCGTCCGTCCGTCCCCTTTCAATACTTTAACGAAGTGAAATCTCGTGCTGTTGGGTGTATAATTTTTTAACGAAGTGAAATCTCGTGCTGTTGGGTGTATAAATTTTTTAACGAAGTGAAATCTCGTGCTGTTGGGTGTATAATTTTTTAACGAAGTGAAATCTCGTTCTGTTGGGTGTATAATTTTTTAACGAAGTGAAATCTCGTGCTGTTGGGTGTATAAATCTTTTAACGAAGTGAAATCTCGTGCTGTTGGGTGTATAATTTTTTAACGAAGTGAAATCTCGTGCTGTTGGGTGTATAATTTTTTAACGAAGTGAAATCTCGTGCTGTTGGGTGTATAATTTTTTAACGAAGTGAAATCTCGTGCTGTTGGGTGTATAATTTTTTAACGAAGTGAAATCTCGTGCTGTTGGGTGTATAATTTTTTAACGAAGTGAAATCTCGTGCTGTTGGGTGTATAATTTTTTAACGAAGTGAAATCTCGTGCTGTTGGGTGTATAATTTTTTAACGAAGTGAAATCTCGTGCTGTTGGGTGTATAAATTTTTTAACGAAGTGAAATCTCGTGCTGTTGGGTGTATAATTTTTTAACGAAGTGAAATCTCGTGCTGTTGGGTGTATACATTTTTTAACGAAGTGAAATCTCGTGCTGTTGGGTGTATAATTTTTTAACGAAGTGAAATCTCGTGCTGTTGGGTGTATACATTTTTTAACGAAGTGAAATCTCGTGCTGTTGGGTGTATAATTTTTTAACGAAGTGAAATCTCGTGCTGTTGGGTGTATACATTTTTTAACGAAGTGAAATCTCGTGCTGTTGGTCTGTAATAATTTGTCCGAAGAACCCTCAACGATTTCGAGGGCAAAAAAAGGTGGGAAGACGCTCTCAATTTGCACAATTTTTACGTAACAATGTCGTAAAATTGCGCAAAATTCCAATGTTCCTACCAGCCTTACCCTGCATGGACCTGTTATTGTCATGCCTGTCAACCTCTTGTTCAGTGCCCTACCTTATTACGGACCAGGCCAGACGTTATCGGTCACCACCACGTCTCGCCTGATGAGTCTCAACGCGTAGCCTCGCGACCGGACGACGAGGACGGATCATTTGAGGGTCGCGTTTTATTGTTCGGCGCTGCAGGCTGTCGAGCCGAGGGATAGAACGCCGTGGGTTAAAAGAATAAAATAAACGGAGCTTGTTGGGCGAGCGTGGAGTTTCGAGCGATAACGAAGGGGCCGTTACCGTCGGTCCGTCGTGGCGAGGCGGAGGGATGACGGGAACCGCGTCGGCAGACCCCCCCCCCCTGTTTGTGTGCGATGCGAATCATCTCACGCCCCGTCACTCACCCACATACTCACTCACCCACCCACTCACTCACTCACCCACCCACCCATCCACTCACCCACCCACCCACTCACCCACCCATTCACCCACCCACTCACCCAACCACTGACCCACCCACCAACCCGCCCACTCACCCACCCACCCACTCACCCAGCTACCCACTCACCCACTCATCCACCCAATCACCCACTCATCCATTCACCCACCCACCCACCAACCCACACACCAACTCACCCACCCACTGACCCACCCACCAACCCTCCCACTCACCCACCCACTCACTAACCCACCCACTCAAACCCAACCACTCAAACCCACCAACCCACTCACTCACCCACCCACTCACTCACTCACCCACCCACTCATCCACCCACCCACCCACTCGCTCACCCACTCAACTACCCACTCACCCACTCACTCACCCACTCAACCACCCACACACCCACTCTCCCGCTCACTCACCCGCTCACGCACTCGCTCACCCACTCAACCACCCACTCACTCACCCACCCACTCATCCACCCACCCACCCACTCGCTCACCCACTCAACCACCCACTGACCCACTCACTCACCCACCCACCCACTCGCTCACCCACTCAACCACCCAATGACCCACTCACTCACCCACCCACTCATCCACCCACCCACCCACTCGCTCACCCACTCAACCACCCACTGACCCACCCACTGACCCGCCCGCCCGCCCGCACCAGGCCTGTTCCCGTGCCTGAAGGCGACGTTCACGCTGAGCAGGCAGATGGGCTACTACGTGACCCAGGTGTACGTGCCCAGCCTGCTGCTCGTCATGGTCTCCTGGCTCTCCTTCTGGATCAACAAGGACCCGGCACCCGCCCGGGTCAATCTGGCCGCCACCACCATCCTCAGCATGATCACCAAGAGCACCGACTCCCGGTCCTTCCTGCCCAAGGTGCGTAGCGAGTGGTGCTGGGGTGGGGCTTGATCCACGCTCGATCCACGCTCGATCACAACCACGCAGGCATTCACAATATCACAGCTTGATCCACGCTCGATCCACGCTCCAACACATACACGCAGGTATTCACAATATCACAGCTCGATCCATGCTTGATCCACGCTCGATCACATACACACAGGCATTCACAATATCACAGCTTGATCCACGCTTGATCCACGCTCGATCACATACACACAGGCATTCACAATATCACAGCTTGATCCACGCTTGATCCACGCTCCAACACATACACGCAGGTATTCACAATATCACAGCTTGATCCACGCTTGATCCACGCTCGATCACATACACACAGGCATTCACAATATCACAGCTTGATCCACGCTTGATCCATGCTCGATCACATACACACAGGCATTCACAATATCACAGCTTGATCCACGCTTGATCCATGCTCGATCACATACACGCAGGCATTCACAATATCACAGCTTGATCCACGCTCGATCCACGGTCGATCACATACACACAGGTATTCACAATATCAGAGCTCGATCTATGCTTGATCCACGCTCGATCACAGACACGCAGGTATTCACAATATCACAGCTTGATCCACGCTTGATCCACGCTCGATCACAGACACACAGGTATTCACAATATCACAGCTTGATCCACAGTCGATCACATACACACAGGTATTTACAATATCACAGCTTGATCCCCGCTTGATCCACAGTTGATCACATACACGCAGGTATTCACAATATCACAGCTTGATCCAAGCTCGAACACATACACGCAGGTATTCACGATATCACAGCTTGATCCACGCTTGATCCAAGCTCGATCACATACACACAGGCATTCACAATATCACAGCTCGATCCACGCTAGATCCACGCTCGATCACATACACGCAGGCATTCACAATATCACAGCTTGATCCACGCTTGATCCATGTTCGAACACATACACGCACGCCATTCAAATCCATCACTTTACCCTACATTGCGGGGATCACACAAAAGATCTCCAAAATCTTGAATAAACACAAGATCCAGGTTCCGATTCAACACATTACATAAAATCCGTGATCTGGTTCCGTCTGTACAAGATGTGATTCCGGACGTACAGTACCCTGGCGTCTACAAACTAAGTTGCCTCTGTGGTAGTAGCTACATTGGAGAAACCAAACGACATGTCTCGGACCGCATCCGCGAACACAAAGCAGACCTTAAACACGGTAGGACCAACACCTCGGCCGTGGCAGAGCACTGTTATAATTCAGTGGGTTCACATGACATTGACAGAGGTTCTCTGCAAAACCATCCGGCTACCATGAGAGAGATTCGCTCATGAGGGCTACCCACATATACAAACACGAGGACAATCTCAACCGAGAAGATGGATTCTGGCTCAGCAATCATTGGAAGGATTTGATAAAACCATTTCCGAACATAGATGGTCTCGATTTAAAGCTTTTGTGACTTGCAAGGATTCATCTTCTTTGGTTCTTTCGGTAAAGTCACCACCACGTAGAATGAGAATAAAATAATAAATCGATAAAATAAAATAACACAGTAAAATTCTCACGACGTTTCGGCCACAACACAAGCGGCCTTCATCAGGTGTAGGTGACGAGACTGTCTGGAGGACAGCGCTGGAGTGAACACAGCCAAGCTCAGATCGCGACCTTTAAGCTGTGTGAGAAGAAACAGAGCGCCTTGACAAAGGAATTAGCATAGAATTTAGCATTGAAATAGCTGAGTGATTAGCTTGTGACTGGTCACAGAAATGGCTATGTTAAAGTCAAAGCCTACACATCCACAGAGGCACCTAGTACAAATCAAACAGGAGAATTTAGCATTGAAATAACTGAGGATTAGCTTGTGACTGGTCATAGAAATAGTTATGTTAAAGTCAAAGCCTACACATCCACAGAGGCACCTAGTACAAATAAAACAGGAGAATTTAGCATAGAAATAGCTGAGTGATTAGCTTGTGACTGGTCACAGAAATGGCTATGTTAAAGTCAAAGCCTACACATCTACAGAGGCACCCCTTGACAAAGGAATTAGCATAGAATTTAGCATTGAAATAGCTGAGTGATTAGCTTGTGACTGGTCACAGAAATGGCTATGTTAAAGTCAAAGCCTACACATCCACAGCGGCACCCCGTGACAAAGGAATTAGCATAGAATTTAGCATTGAAATAGCTGAGTGATTAGCTTGTGACTGGTCACAGAAATGGCTATGTTAAAGTCAAATCATACACATTCACAGAGGCACCCCTTGACAAAGGAATTAGCATAGAATTTAGCATTGAAATAGCTGAGTGATTAGCTTGTGACTGGTCACAGAAATGGCTTTGTTAAAGTCAAAGCCTACACATCCACAGCGGCACCCCGTGACAAAGGAATTAGCATAGAATTTAGCATTGAAATAGCTGAGTGATTAGCTTGTGACTGGTCACAGAAATGGCTATGTTAAAGTCAAAGCATACACATTCACAGAGGCACCTAGTACAAATCAAACAGGAGAATTTAGCATTGAAATAGCTGAGTGATTAGCTTGTGACTATGACCAGTCACAAGCTAATCACTCAGCTATTTCAATGCTAATTTTTACGCTAATTCCTTTGTCAAGGCGCTGTTTCTTCTCACACAGCTTAAAGGTCCGCGGTCCGAGCTTGGCTTTGTTCGCTCCAGCGCTGTCCTCCAGACAGTCTCGTCCCCTTCACCTGATGAGGGCCGCTTGTGTCGCGGCCGAAACGTCGCGGGTAATTTCATCGCGTCGTTTCGTTCCATCAATTCATTGTTTCGTTCTCATTCCACGTGGTGGTGACTTTACCGAAAGAACCAAAAGAACGTCTGATGGCCTCGTCCAATCTGAGCAAACCGCCAAATCGGCTCTCCGTGCCGCTGACGTTAAGTGGGGGCCGGGAAAAAACAAAAGCCGCTTTTTTTCAAATCGTTCCCGCCGCTGTTTTCTCCGCCCGCATCCGCCGATGGCTGCTTTCTCGTTCGCCGGGATCGCGGACGTCGCGAGAATTCTAGATTTGAAGCTTTCGCGTCTCGCAAGGATCCACACTCCTTTTGATTCTATTCGGTAAAGTCACCACGTAGGTAAGTAAGTAAAAAAAAACGGCAAAAAAACCGGAAAAAATCACGACGTTTCGGCCGCGACACAAGCGGTCCTCATCAGGTTGAAGGGATCAGGCTGTCTCGAGGACAGCGCTGGAGTGAAACAGTCGGCCGATCAAACGCTAATTTTTTTACGCTAATTCCTTTGTCAGTGCACCTTGTTTCCTCGCACACAGCTTAAAGGTCCGCGGTTCCGGGCGTGGCTGCGTTTCGCTCCAGCGCTGTCCTCCAGACAGCCTGGTCCCTTCGACCTGATGAAGGCCGCTTGTGTCGTGGCCGAAACGTCGCGGGAATTTCATCGCGTTATTTTATTTTAACGATTCATTATTTCGTTCTCATTCCACGCGGCGGTGACTTTACCGAAAGAACCAAAGATGATGAATCCCTGCAAGTCACGAAAAGCTTTAAAAAAATCGAAATTTGTCTTGTGGTGGTGGTGGTTGTTGTTGTGGTGGTTGTTGTTGTTGTTTTTTGACTTTGCAATGCCACTGGGATTATTTGCACTGAGCGTTGGTGGTGTAACGCTGCTTTATTTTTTTAAAGGAATACCTACGTGGTGACTTTACCGAATAGAACCAAAGATGATGAATCCCTGCAAGTCACGAAAATCTTTAAAAAAAAATCGAAATTTGTCTTGTGGTGGTGGTTGTTGTTGTGGTTGTTGTTGTTGTGGTGGTTGTTGTTGTTGTTTGACTTTGCAAACCCGCTGGGATCATTTGCACGAAGCGTTGGTGGTGTAACGCTGCTTTTTTTTTTTAAAGGAATACCTACGTGGTGACTTCACCGAATAGAACCAAAGATGATGAATGATCCTCCCGTCTCTGTGCGTCTCTCGCTGCGCCCGGCACGCGAGGTAGGTGTCCTACGCCACCGCCATGGACGTGTGGATGGCCACGTGCCTGGTGTTCGTGATCGCTGTGCTGGTGGAGTACACGCTGGTACAGGCCACGGCACGCCGGGCCAAGGACTCCAAAGTGGTGGAGGAGAGCAAGGTGGGTGGGGGTGGGGGGGGTGGTGGTGGTGGGGGGGGGTGGGGGGGTGGTGGTGGGGGGGTGGTGGGGGGGGGGGTGGGGGGGGGGGGCCGAGATGGGCGTGGCTGTCGTTCGTTCGTTCGTTCGATCTGCTCGCTTGTTCTGTCACACGTTCGGATGTTGCGCGACTCTCCCCCTCCTCCTCCTCTCCCTCCCCCTCCTCCACCTCCTCCTCCTCCTCCACCCTCCTCCATCTCCTCCTCCTCCTCCTCCTCCACCCCCTCCTCCTCCACCCCCTCCTCCACCTCCTCCACCTCCTTTCCCTCCCTCCTCCTCCCCCTCCTCCTCCTCCTCCTCCTCCTCGTCCTCCTTCACCTCCTCCTCCTCCTCCCCCTCCTCCTCCTCCTCCTCGCCCTCCTCCCCCTCCTCCTCCCCCTCCTCCGCCTCCTCCTTCACCTCCTCCCCCTCCTCCTCCTCCTCCTCCTCCTCCTCCTCCCCCTCCTCCGCCTCCTCCTCCTCCTCGCCCTCCTCCCCCTCCCCCTCCTCATCCTCCACCTCTCCCTCCTCCTCCTCCACCTCCTCATCCTCCCCCACACCCCTCCCCCCCCACACCCCCCACACCCCCCACACCCCCCACACCCCTCCCCCCCCACACCCCCCACACCCCTCCCCCTCCCCCACTCCCCCCACGTGCCCGCAGGAGTCTCCGGCCGAGCTGGAGAAGAAGTTCACGCGGCAGGCGGTGATGGTGGATGTGAAGGCGCGCTTCGTGTTCCCCGCGGCCTTCGCCGCCTTCAACGCCGTCTACTGGGTCACCTGCGTCGTGGGCCTCAAGAGCCTGCAGTGAACACACCGCCACAGAGACACCGCAGAGACACCACAGAGACACCACAGAGACACCACAGAGACACCACAGAGACACCACAACCACAAAGACACCGTGTCCACCACGACTACAGAGACACCGCAGAGACACCACCACCACTACAGAGACACCACAACTACAGAGACACTGCACTGATAACGCCGTCTACTGGGTCACCTGCGTCGTGGGCCTCAAGAGCCTGCAGTGAAGACTCAGCAGAGACACCACAACTACAGAGACACCACAACTACAGAGACACCACAACCACAGAGACACCACAGAGACACCACAGAGACACCACCACCACCACAGAGACACAGCACTGATAACGCCGTCTACTGGGTCACCTGCGTCGTGGGCCTCAAGAGCCTGCAGTGAAGACACCACTACAGAGACACCGTGTCCACCACAGAGACACCACAACCACAGAGACACCACCACCACCACAGAGACACCACAACTACAGAGACACCGCACTGATAACGCCGTCTACTGGGTCACCTGCGTCGTGGGCCTCAAGAGCCTGCAGTGAAGACTCAGCAGAGACACCACAACTACAGAGACACCACAGAGACACCACAGAGACACCACCACCACAGAGACACCACCACCACCACAGAGACACAGCACTGATAACGCCGTCTACTGGGTCACCTGCGTCGTGGGCCTCAAGAGCCTGCAGTGAACACACCACCACAGAGACACCGCAGAGACACCGCAGAGACACCACAACTACAGAGACACCACAACTACAGAGACACCACAGAGACACCACAGAGACACCACCACCACAGAGACACCACCACCACCACAGAGACACCACAACTACAGAGACACCACACTGATAACGCCGTCTACTGGGTCACCTGCGTCGTGGGCCTCAAGAGCCTGCAGTGAAGACACCACCACAGAGACACCGCAGAGACACCGCAGAGACACCACAGAGACACCACAACCACAGAGACACCACAACCACAGAGACACCGTGTCCACCACAGAGACACCACAACCACAGAGACACCACAACCACAGAGACACCGTGTCCACCACAGAGACACCACAACCACAGAGACACCACAACCACAGAGACACCACAACCACAGAGACACCGTGTCCACCACAGAGACATCGTGACCACAACCACAGAGACACCACAACTACAGAGACACCACAGAGACACCACAGAGACACCACAGAGACACCACCACAGAGACACCACAACCACAGAGACACCATGTCCAACACCACAGAGACACCACCACCACTACAGAGACACCACAACTACAGAGACACCACAACCACAGAGACACCACAACCACAGAGACACCGTGTCCACCACAGAGACATCGTGACCACAACCACAGAGACACCACAACTACAGAGACACCACAGAGACACCACAGAGACACCACAGAGACACCACCACCACAGAGACACCACAACCACAGAGACACCATGTCCAACACCACAGAGACACCACCACCACTACAGAGACACCACAACTACAGAGACACCACAACCACAGAGACACCACAACCACAGAGACACCGTGTCCACCACAGAGACATCGTGACCACAACCACAGAGACACCACAACTACAGAGACACCACAGAGACACCACAGAGACACCACAGAGACACCACCACCACAGAGACACCACAACCACAGAGACACCATGTCCAACACCACAGAGACACCACCACCACTACAGAGACACCACAACTACAGAGACACCGTGTCCACTACCACAGAGACACCGCCACTACAGAGACACCGCACTGATAACGCCGTCTACTGGGTAACCTGCGTCGTGGGCCTCAAGAACCTGCAGTGAAGACACCACCACAGAGACACCGCAGAGACACCACAGAGACACCGCCACCACCACCACCACAGAGACACCGTGTCCACCACAGAGACACCGCCACCACCACTACAGAGACACCGCCACTACAGAGACACCACAGAGACACCACAGAGACACCGCAACCACCACAGAGACGCCACAGAGACACCGTGTCCACCACAGAGACATCACAACTACAGAGACACCGCACTGATAACGCCGTCTACTGGGTAACCTGCGTCGTGGGCCTCAAGAACCTGCAGTGAAGACACCACACTGATAACCACAGAGACACCGTGACCACCACTACAGAGACATCACAACCACAAAGACACCGTGTCCACTACCACAGAGACACCGCCACTACAGAGACACCACAGAGACACCACCACCACAGAGACACCACAGAGACACCGTGTCCACCACCACTACAGAGAAACCGTGTCCACCACATAGACACCGTGACCACAGAGACACCACAGAGACACCACAGAGACACCGCCACTACAGAGACACTACAGAGACACCGCAGAGACACCGCCACCACAGAGACACCGCACTGATAACGCCGTCTACTGGGTCACCTGCGTCGTGGGCCTCAAGAGCCTGCAGTGAAGACTCAGCAGAGACACCACTACAGAGACACCGTGTACACCACCACAGAGAGACCACCACCGCAGAGACACCGTGTACACCACCAGAGACACCGCACTGATAACCACATAGACACCGCCACCATAGAGACACCGTGACCACCACTACAGACACACCACCACCACAGATACATCGTGACCACCACTACAGAGACACCACAACTACAGAGACACCACAACTACAGAGACACCACAACTACAGAGACACCACAACTACAGAGACACCACAGAGACACCAAAGAGACACCGCCACCACAGAGACACCGTGACCACCACTACAGAGACACCGAGATCATGACCACAGAGACACCGCAGAGACCACAGAGACACCGAGACCACCACTACAGACACGCCGCCACCACAGAGACACAGCACTGATAACCACAGAGACACCGTGACAACCACTACAGAGACACCGTGACAACAGAGACACCGAGACCACAGAGACACCGTGTCCATCACTACAGAGACATCACCACCACCACAGAGACACTGCACTGACAACCACAGAGACACCGAGACCACCACCACAGAGACACCGAGACCACCCCACCCACCACCCGACATGTGAACCATATCCGCGTATGGGGTAAACTAAATAAAAGTTGGATAATCACATTGACTACGGTGTGGTGTGGGTGTGTGGTGTGTGGTGTGTGTCGTGTAGTGTGTGTGGTGTGTGTGTGGTGTGTGTGGTGTGTGTGGTGTACGTGGGGTGTGTGATGTGTGTGGTGTGTGTGGTGTGTGTCGTGTAGTGTGTGTGGTGTGTGTGGTGTGTGTGGTGTGTGTGGTGTGTGTGGTGTACGTGGTGTACGTGGTGTGTGTGGTGTGTGTGGTGTGTGTGGTGTGTGTGGTGTGTGTGGTGTGTGGTGTAGTGTGTGTGGTGTGTGGTGTGTGGTGTGTGTGTGTGGTGTGTGTGGTGTGTGTGGTGTGTGGTGTAGTGTGTGTGATGTGTGTGGTGTGTGGTGTGTGTGTGTGATGAGTGTGGTGTGTGTGGTGTGGTGTGTGTGGTGTAGTGTGTGTGGTGTGTGTGGTGTGTGTGGTGTACGTGGTGAGTGTCGTGTACGTGATGTGTGTGGTGTGTGTGGTGTGTGTGGGTGTGTGGTGTGTGTGTGTGGTGTGTGTGATGAGTGTGGTGTGTGTGGTGAGTGTGGTGTGTGTGGTGTAGTGTCGTGTAGTGTGTGTGGTGTGTGTGGTGTAGTGTGTGTGGTGTGTGTGGTGTGTGTGTGGTGTGGTGTGTGTGGTGTGTGTGGTGTGGTGTGTATGGTGTACGTGGTGTGTGTGGTGAGTGTGGTGTGTGTGGTGTGTGTGGTGTGTGTGTGTGTGGTGTGTGTGGTGTGTGTGGTGTAGTGTGTGTGTGGTGTGTGTGGTGTAGTGTGTGTGTGGTGTGTGGGGTGTACGTGGTGAGTGTGGTGTAGTGTGTGTGGTGTGCGTGGTGTGTGTGGTGTAGTGTGTGTGGTGTGTGTGGTGAGTGTGGTGTGTGTGGTGAGTATGTGGTGTGTGTGTGTGGTGTGTGTGTAGGTGTGTGTGTGTGGTGTGTGTGTGGTGTGTGGGGTGTGTGTGGTGAGTGTGGTGTGTGTGGTGTGTGTGGTGTGTGTGGGTGTGTGTGGTGTGTGTGTGGTGTGTGTGTGGTGTGTGTGTGGTGTGTGTGGTGTGTGTGGTGTGGTGTGTGTGGTATGTGTGGTGTGTGTGGTGTAGTGTGTGTGGTGTGGTGTGTGTGGTGTGGTGTGTGTGGTGTATGGTGTGTGTGGTGTGTGTGGTGTGTGTGTCGTGTAGTGTGTGTGGTGTGTGTGGTGTACGTGGTGTACGTGGTGAGTGTGTGGTGTGTGTTGTGTGTGTGTGGTGTGTGTGATGTGTGGTGTATGTGGTGTGTGTGTGGTGTGTGTGGTGTGTGTGGTGAGTGGGGTGTGTGTGGTGTGTGTGGTGTGTGTGGGTGTGTGTGGTGTGTGTGGTGTGTGTGGTGTGTGTGTGGTGGTGTGGTGAGTGTGGTGTGGTGTGTGTGGTGTATGGTGTGTGTGGTGTGTGTGGTGTGTGGTGTGTGTGTCGTGTAGTGTGTGTGGTGTGTGTGGTGTACGTGGTGTACGTGGTGAGTGTGTGGTGTGTGTTGTGTGTGTGTGGTGTGTGTGATGTGTGGTGTGTGTGGTGGTGTGTGTGTGGTGTGTGTGTTGTGTGTGATGTGTGGTGTGTGTGGTGTATGTGGTGTGTGTGTGGTGTGTGTGGTGTGTGTGGTGTGTGTGTGTCGTGTAGTGTGTGTGGTGTGTGTGGTGTGTGGGGTGTAGTGTGTGTGATGTGTGTGGTGTAGTGTGTGTGGTGTGTGTGGTGTGTGTGGTGAGTGGGGTGTGTGTGGTGTGTGTGGTGTGTGTGGGTGTGTGTGGTGTGTGTGGTGTGTGTGGGGTGTGTGTGGTGGTATGGTGAGTGTGGTGTGTGTGTTGTGTAGTGTGTGTGGTGTACGTGGTGTGTGTGGTGTGTGTGGTGTGTGTGG